CCTGCAGCGGAGCGTCGGTCTCGGGGGTGGGGGGGGGCTCTTCCTTGACATCGTTCTTGCCCCCGCCCTCCGTCTTGGTGCTGATCCGCTCCAGCGCCTGCTCCCGCCGCTTCTCCCTCTTCTCCAGCCTGGCGAAGGCTTGCAGGATCGCCTCCATCTTCCGCTCCTCGCGGGTCTGTGGGGCAAGAGGGGGGGGACCGTTAGATCTGCTCGCCCGGCCCGCCCCGCACCGCCCCGCCCCAGACACAGTCGTCGGAGGAGCAGGGGTGGGGTGGCGTGGGGGGCAAGGCTGCCACCCAGACGCCCGCCACAGGACGGACAACAGACACTGCGGCTGATCGGGATCTGCAGGCAGGAATCGGCAGCAGAGAAAGAGAGAAAAGAGCAAGTGCCGTCTTATATTCCCACAGACGAGGCTGAAACAGAAGAAACGCCCCTCTCTTCCCCATGACAGGATATAGGATTTTATGCATCTACGTGGGCGTGCCAAGTGGAGGGTGGGGCACATGTCCTGTCCACCAGTCAGGTTAGAGGCTGGTGACCCCGCCTCCCCCAGACCGGGGTCAATCAAGGGTCACCCCTGCTCCCCCTGGCCCTGTGCCCGTCAGCCGGTATGGGCCAGCTCGTAGGCAGGGCTGGGGTGGGCGCGCATCTGCGGGACCCCTAAAGAGGGGAGGGGGGGGCGCAGCAGGAGGATATAGGACTCATGGAGGGTGCTCATTTGGGGGAGGGGGGGGGCTAAGGGGACTTTACCTCCTTGTGCCTCAGTGCCATCCAGCTGGACCCCCCCCAGCTGGCAGATGGGACTTCTCCGCTGGGCTGGCCTGGATGGTTTCAAACAGAGACACCCAGTTTAGAAGACGGGAGACCCCCCCCCCGAATCACAGATCCTCCACCCAGCGGGAGCTCGTGGAGGAGCGGGCGGGCAGACAGAGGCCTGCTCTGGTATGGCCCTCTGGAGAAGTGGGCCTGGCTGTTATCACGGGGGAAGCAGGAAACCCACAGCCTGCCTCCCCCCAGCTATTCCTGCGCCTGGCATAGTCACGGAGGAGATGGAGGGAGGGAGGGGAGGGGAGGGGGTGGGCAAGAGCCTCAGCACCATCGCCACAGCCCGCCATTACCCGAACCGGTTATATAATCGGAATGGACTCTGGCACACTCGCACCCTACAGGCAGGGGGAGAAAGTGTGGCTCAAATCCAACTCCCTACAGAATCCCACCAACCCCTTCCTCCGGATGCAGAGCTCTTTCCGAGACGCCACCCCAGACCACATCCCTTCGCCCTGGAGGATGGTGGGAACTCCCACGCTGGACATCGGGGAACGCACTTCTCCACCCAACCGGCACCAGGATGCAACTGCACTCCGGCAGCCCATCGCCAGAGGCGCCAGCCCACGGATAAGAACGCACAACGGCCCCCTGTAATATGGGGCCGACCTCACAGCTGCAGTCGAGTCCACGTCCTCCAGAACACACTGTCTACCTGTCCGGCCCAAGCCCTCCCGTGGGCAGGACTTCAGGATCTCCGTCATTCCAAATCCGCGCAAAGCACCATCCCGCCACAGCGCACTACGTCATTCTCATTCTCTCCGAGACATCGCTGCCAACACATGGGAGCGGAGGGCTAGAGACACGGATCCAGACTGCGCTGGCTCTAGCGGACCGGCAGCCCACGTCAAGCCCACGTCAAGCCCACGTCAAGCCCACGTCAAGCCCACGTCAAGCTTGAGAACCGCTGCTCTACACGGACCCCGGACTACATGACCCCTGACCTCAGTGCAGCGTGGGAACAGACTCACTGCAACCCTTGAAGGAATCCAAAATCAACAAGCTACCAGCAATTGGAAAACAAGAAGAGGGCCCCTCGCTCCTTTATTCAATTTAAATAGCCTTGCACTACAGATCAGTTCTAATCCTGCTGCCGTATCCACGCCACAGTGGAGTGGTTGCCTCTCGCAATGCTCCTCAACACTTCCGGACATCTTCAGCTCCTAAACCTGTGCTGCACATCAATACTGACGGAAGCCCTAAACCTCAAGAACCCCTAAACCCAAACAGCCATGCTAGAGCCTCCCATCTCTCCTAATCTTACCTGTGCTGTTCAATTAGAATCGAAAATCCTGCTGTCCAGCTCTGCTGCAGGATCCTGCGGCGCAGTGTCTTAATTACGTACAGGACGCGTCCAGAAGACTCCAACAAAAGTGCTCTGAAACCGGGGCTGCGAGGCCCCCGACTCTGACAGAGGACGCCCCCTGCCAGAGGGACAGGGGACCGGCCAGGGCGAGAGAGAGGGGGGGGCAGCGCGCGAGCACAGCGGGCGTGTGGCCCCCTCGGGCCCCTGCTCCCGAAGCGAGGCCAGAGGCACAGAGGCAGCGACAGGAGCAGAATCTGCACCGGCGGCAGCAGCAGAGCAGCGCGGGGTCTCGGCAGAGCCCCGGAGGTAGAAGCCCCCACTGAAGCGCCCCGCTGCAGCCCCTCACTGCGCACAGCAGCTGCCCACTTACCATCTTCCTCCTCCTCTCTGCAATCTGCTCCTCTGACTCCATCTCTACTTCATTGCTAATGGGGGTTTTCTCTTCTATATCCTCAATTAACTCAGGCTCCTGAAAGAGGGAGAGGGGCACTTCATCATGGCACTGCACATGTCCGGGTGCAGACTAAGGTGGGGTGGGGGGTGAAACTCAAGGTGCAAGGGAGAGCAGGGGGCAAGTTCGGGGGGAGGGGGGGGAGGACTGCAGCTCCTTGCTGGCGATGTCGTCTCAAGCAGCGACTGGGAGGGTGGTATTTCCCAGCTCGAATACACAGGCTGGTCTGGGACTGGGAGAGGTGCAAGCCGGGGGGTTCAGCGACACGAGCCTGGTTATTGTGTGTGCACGCTAATATCGGAGCCTGCGCCAGGAAGAGAAACACCGAGTATTTATCACAATCATCTCGTTATCCATAACTTCCTGTTCCCTAATGCCTCCTCCTCACTACTCTCCACCAGCAGACAACACTCCCCAGGACCAGAGCAACCGGATTCCTGCACTGCTGCAGGCATTATATTTCACTTAATTCAATTCACTGGCTACATTACTCCTACACCATGGAAACTCCCCATACTGTGCTCTACAAAACTACCTGCCCTCTCCACAAAACCAGACTGCTGACAATTGTGAGTTGTCTGTTAACATTAGAGTTGTGTATGTTGTCAAGAAGGGACATCTCAGATATGCACGGATAACACAAGGGACCTTTCCTCTTTCTTAGTTGGCATGAGCTAACATGCTCACTTACAGAGTGCATGACTCCCCCTCCCTGCCCCTGGCCTATCTCTCTCTCTCACCCTGTGACCATGTCACCCCCAGTTCCGGCTCCCAACAGGTGGGAGCCCCTCATCTCCCTCCTCACCGGCAACCCTGCCCCCACCTCCTGACCCAGCAGTCACCGGAGTTCCAGGAGGCTGTCTGCTGTGTGTTTCGTGTTCTCCTCACACAAAACACATGCTGGTGCGGCATGCTGCTGGTCTCAAACAGCCTCCCATCACGGTCTCTGGGCTGCTCTGATGGCAGAGGATCCCCCCGAGTCCCTTTTCTCATTGAGACTCAACCTCTGCCATAGGAGGGGAGACCAGGATACCTTCATAGAAACTGTTAATAAGAATTCCTTATGCTTATACAGGATAGAGCTTTCCTGGACACTACACCCCAAACACTCTACAGGTGCTGGGGACATCCCTCCACCACCACCAGTGTGCAGCCCCACCTGGATGATGTGACAGCAGCCATAGTGCACCAGTACACTCCCCACACACCAGCTCTCAGTGGGGAGGAGAGCAGAGTGCACCAGTACACTCCCCACACACCAGCTCTCAGTGGGGAGGAGAGCAGAGTGATGAAGCCAGTTCAGAGATGGGGATTATTTGGAGGCCATGACTGGTAAAGACCAGTGGGAAAATTGGCCAGGACAAGAGTCACAGTCCGTTTCTCATAGAGAATAGCCCTGGGATTTTTAATGACCACGGAAAGTCAGGGCCTCGGTTTTTACGTCTCATTCGAAGGACGGTGCCTTTTTACAGTACTGTGTTCCCAAACCTATGCTGGAGAATTAGGATCCAAACGGACTGCAGGGTGAGTGCCCCCAACTGGTCCCACCAACACCTCTTCTAGCTGCAATTTTAGCTCTTGCAGGACGTCCCCCATCCAGGCTCACACCTGCTGAGCTTCAGCGGGCAGGCCAGGTGTGAGCTGCTGGCGAGCCGCTGTTAAATGAGTGGATCCTGCCTTTCCCCAGTCACAAACCTCAAACGCCACAACTCAGACTGCTGGCAAGACCGGTCAACAACACCCCCACCTTCTCCTATAACATTCTCGCTCGGGAGAGAACAGCGGGGAAATGCACGGACTGAGCACAGTGACTCTCCGGTGTGCCAGCTGGTGCCCAACCGCTGCCCAGCATGGACAGCTGTCTGGCACTGCCATACAAGTGTTGGGATAACGCGCCACCTCCTCAGTGCTGGCGGAGGCTTGCCAGGGCCGCGGGCCAGCCTCCTGTTTGTGCAGACTGACAAATATTCCCAAGACACTACAGTCACCTGACTACCATTTGACGCCAACCCTGACGGTCACCGTGCCTTGGTCAACGCCCGGCCTACAAAGAGGGAAACGCCACATCGGAGACTGTTTCCAAGTTCTGCCGCTGGGGACATGAGTAGGAAGGGACTGCTGGCTTACCAGAGTGCTTACCAGAATGCCTGGGTAACACATTACACAAGAGGACAACGAGAGAGCTACACATGGGCATCTATCTGCCAGAGCATCACAAACACAGCAGAACTCACACTGAAACCACCCCTGAACATGGTCTTAAAACTGCCTTGTTTCAACAAAGCATCAATGAATGACTCCACTGAAGATGGAAAGCACAAGTCTGTTGTTTTCCCAATGACTGTGGGTGCGCAAAATCACTAATTAAAAGTGACAGAAACAGAAAGAGTCATTTTCACACTGCTGGCTCGGAGAAGAGCCCAGATTCCAGCAACACGATACTGCGGGACATCAGGGCCCCTCTGAGCTGTTAGGCAATTTAACTGTCCCGGGCACAGCAACCTCTGTCCTGCACAATTCCCCCGTCCATCATCACAAGCCATCCCTGTAAGGGATGTGCGACTGGGCAGGTAAGTGTCCCAGCAGAAACAATACTACACCTCTGTGACTCAACACCAGGATATGAAGTTTATACATCTACAAATATCCCAAAACCCAAATCACAGGCTAACGCGCTGTCCAATCAAATGATGCACGGAGATCGTGCATGAAATGAGAATCCGAACTGTGCTTTGCAAAATAGAAATAAAAACAGCCGGGTGACCTGGGATGAGTGTGTGAGAAAAGGTGCAGGAGATGGGAGGGGGGAGGGGAGACATGCTGCTGGGAGAGGCAGGAATTGGGAACTGAGCAAGCAAGAGAAGGGAGAGGACAACAGACGAGATTACATCGGCGACTGGGGGGGGGGTATTTTATTGTATGTATTCAGGATTTCGCAGCTCTTTGTCACTTAATGTGCATTCCCTGGCGAAGCCTCCTGCACACCGGCTGTTTCTGGAGCAGTGGAAGAAGGACAGTCGGAGACAGACGCAGACCGGTGTGACAGTGATGGGCGAGGTGGACAGGGTTGACGGGGGCCGTACCTGGTTGTTGGAAATGGACAGGCGGAGGGGGGACAGCTTTCTCTGCTTGGCGTCGGCGTGGCCCTTGCTCTTGGTGCCGTCGCAGTCCAGCACCATGTTCTGGTTCTGGGCCCCCTCCCTCTCTCGCTCCCGCTCCTTCTCCCTCTCCCTCTCGTGCTCGTGCTCGCGGGGCGCCTCCTTGTCCTTCCGCCCCCGCCGCCGCCGCGTCTCATACCCGGCTCCCAGGTTCTCCGTGGGCTCGGCGTTGTGCTTCTGAACCGGACAATCGGCGTTCCCTTTCACGCACGCGCAGTCTACCTTGTACTTGCTGACGGAGGGGGGGGAGAGAGAAGAGGAGAAAGCGTACCCGCGTGAGACCGCACCCCGGACCATCCCATCATGCACCTGGCCTGCTCCGGCCGCACGCTGCAGCTCACAGCCCAGTGGCTCCAACGCCATCATTCTGCATCATATCACATCACTTTCAAAAACGGCTTAGCCATACCGGGCCAAGGCAGCCCTGGACACTCAAGGACAGGAAGACAAACACACAAACACACAAACACACAAACACACAAACACACAAACACACAAACACACAAACACACAAACAC